GTCTTCCCCTCCGGCCTTCAAAATATTCCGCCTCTAACCGCATATCTCGCGGCTAAAAACACGATAAAACAGCAACGAAGAAGCGACGACGGCGGCCAAGAATCCAAACTGAATTCAGATATTTCACCTAAGGATTAGCTCGTTTGAAAGAGCTTTCCCTCGCTCCTGCCATCGAACCACCGTGTGTCCTTCCTTCTTTTGCGAGGTGGAGAGAGGGGGCGAGCCGGTTTCGGAGATCAGGCCCCGCGGTGGCCACAACGCGGGTGAGGTGGCCATCACCACAAAACAAATCCCTGCAAAGCAATACTTCGTCGGATCTGGTTGAACCCTACCGCGAAGCTGCGGGAGGTGGCTGATTCCCTATGATTGTGGTGATAAGTGAGACGGCGATGACGAGCTGTAGGCAGCAAATGGGGGTAGTGTGGGTCGTGGGGTGCGGGGAGGCCCGGGGGCAGTGTGGGTGGGGCGAGAGGAGGTGGCAGGTGGGAAAAGGAAGTAGGCTGGGGGCTGAGCGAAGGCGGCGGAGGCGGCGAGGATTGTTGAGCGGGCTCGGCGGCGGGCGCGGGGTGGGTTCGGGGCAAGTCTCGATAGATTACGGCGAAGGCGGGCAAAGTGAAGAGGGTATCGTGATGAAGTTGTTGTGAGCCGAATGGAAAGCGTGTTCGAATATTGTGTGGATACCGATGGTTGGAGGGGATGGTGTGATCGTGGTCGAGGGCGGTTGATGGTCTTTCGAGGGCCGCATGAGAGAAGTGTCACATGGCGACTCTCGCAGGGAGCCGAGATTAGCAATCAGGAGGAGCTCCAGGTGGCGGAGTCTTGGGGAAGGGGAACCAGGGGAGGACGGTAGGATTTGGGATGGAGGGAGAAGAGTTTTGATGTGGTTGAAGAGATTGCCATAGTGCGATAAGCAGGAAGCCGAAGCGGGGGCGACATGGCCATTAAGGTGGTCCCATGGATTGAGTAGGAGGTGACTGAAAGAAGGAAGGAAATGGAAAATAGGGTTCTGTGATGGTGGTTACCATTTTAGAGAGGATTCAGGTAAGTGGACGAGGCTCGCAAGGAGACTGAGATTGTTTGGATTTAAAGAGGAGAATGGAGGGGAAAGAGGAACTAAGGGTTGTTGAGGAAATGAAGGGCGAGGAGGAGAAGCAGATGGTCATGATTCTCTCTAGATTTGTTCCTAGAAGAAAAAAGACATTTGGACTCTTGGGGGGACTTTTTCTTTGTTTTTCATACTTTAGTTTTTTTATTTTTATCTTTTATTTTTTCGATCCGGGAAGCATTGGTTTTTATGTCCTCTGTCGTTTGTTGTTGTTGTAAAAAACTTAGTGTTAAAAAAATATTTAATGTTTTAGTCTGGATTTTATTTAAGAATTATAATAAGTTTTAACATTTTTAATTTATTAAATATATGTTAAATGCTTAAATTTTATTTGAATATATATAACTTGAATATAAATTTATTAATATTCAGAACATACTTTTTTTCTCTAAACTATCTGGATTTGGAAAATTTTTTAGTTAGGACATTGTTGACTCAACTTTTACTTTTTTTAAATTTATTTTAAAAATAGAGTATGAATAGTTTTCTCTAAAATTTTTCTGCATACAATATTTATTTTCTTAAAAATTTAAAAACTTTCTCTCGCTATTTTTAATTATTATATAGTATATATTATATATATATTATATTATGAGGTTATATACTTAGATTAGGTAGGGAAGCTTGCACTTGATATTACTTAATGAGAAGATTAGTTTTTTTTGTCAAAGTTTAAGAGACCTGCTTATAATAAGCAACCAAATTGGGCGGTTTCTGTGGGCAGGAGCTTTGAATTGCAATGAGCTTACAACAGATTAGACGGAAAGAGCCAAACATTCTAGATGGGCTGATTGGCGGGCGTTGCGCTGTGCGACGCTCGTCAGGGGGCCGCTGCGCACCGTGTAAATGCATTGTCTAAATTTTTATATTTTATTTTTTGAGTATTTCCTATCATATATTATAGAAACTTATATAAACAAGATCTAGAAAATATGTCAGTTTCAATGTTGATCATGTGCGACTGATTGATTTGACTTGATTTGATTGACATGCATATTGCTTCTATCGTGCTTTGATTTCAGTTGTAGGCTTTGGTGACCTGCTGGGCTATTTAAGCTCATTATATGTGGTTAATGATTTCAGGTGCAGAGCCTCCCGCGTGAAGCTTCTTCGGTTACTAGTGTAGTTTTGCTTCTTGTAGCCTTTGGCAGGCATTTGTTTTTGTAGCCGAATGGCTATTGTATATATTCTTTTGGACGCTCCTTTTGACTGTGTATATGTTGAAATGTGAATTATAGTAGTTGCTGTATTTCTTTTCTTTAATGCAATTATCTCTGGATGTCTGTATTGATCCGAACGAGAAAGAGACGAAAAAGAAGAATGTCAGATGAATCCTTTCACTATTGATATCTGGGATGTTACAATAACTGTCGGGATAATGAACAAATCAATGAAAATACAACTGAGAATCCAATAGACAACAAAAAAAGGAAGAAAACCTCTATAGTGTAGGATGAATTTAAGGAAATAACCATCCCTGATGGTCAGAAGAAAGTAGAATGTTCTCATTGCAAGAAAAAAATATGCATACATTGCACAAGTTCTACAACACAGTATAGGACGCACTTAGATCGTTGCCATGCAAGAATGCGTGGTATCAGGAACCAAAAGATTTTATAGTTTGAGCCCAAAGAAATTATATGTACGGGTGAAAATTCTGAGGAAAGTGGAAGTTTAACAACATTCAAGTGCGACCAATTAAAAGTTAGAGAGATTGTTACCCATTCCATTTTAATAAATGAGAAACCATTTTTCAGTTGTGGAAGAGTTTGTCTTTAATTTAGTATTAAAGACCATGTCACCCTAATTCATGAAGTATAGTAGAACAACAGCTCATAAAGATATAATGTTGGTGTATGAGAAGGAGAAGAAGAAGCTGCATGCTTCATTAAAAAATATAACAAGACTAAGCTTTACAACTGATATATAAAGGTAAGAAAATCAAAGAATTTCATACCAGACTGTCACAACACATTATGTGGATTCCAAATGGAAATTACAGAAGCATGTGCTTAGCATCTCACACTTGCCTCCACCACGTACAACAATTGAGATTGTTGACACCTTTTATAAGTTAATTAGTGAGTGGCTATGTTGCACCGATACACCTATTTATGAAGGCTTGTTGTATCTGATACACCGATACATGGATACACCTCCGCTACGGCACCGATACGTGTCGGATACGGCTTTGCCGTATCCAATTAAAATACTATTTAATTTTAAAAGGACACACGTATCTGATACGCGTGTCTGTTGAAAAACAAAAAAAATATGAAAAAAAGACCCATCGTATCCGCGACTGCAAGTGAGGTTCTCACATTTCCGAGATGGATTTGAGTCTCTTGATGATATGGGAATTTTAGAAATTGCTAATCTTTCACTTGATGGGCTTGAATTAGAAGCTATGATATTTATTTAAGATGATATAGAAGTTCAAAGACAAACCACTAAAGAAAGCTAATCATATCTTTCCTTCTATTGAATAGTTGAAACTTCATGTGCTAGACAATTTATGTTTATGCTTTTGTTGTTGTACTAGACATTTAATGCTTACTTTTATTTTGATATTATAAGCTACATGGCTACAAATGATATTACTTTCATTTCTTTGTAATTTCAAATAATATGCTTTTACTGCTTTCTTAATTTTTATGTATGATTTATAAATTATATTGTTATGTCTGCACCGTACTTGTATCCTGTATTTTAAAGAATTGATGTGTCCCATATCCGTATCATGTCATATTTGTGTTGCCGTATTCGTATTTGTGCAACATAGGTGAGTGGGGATTGGAGAATAAAGTTTTCACCATATCTATTGATAATGCAGCCAACAATGACAGTGCAATTAAGTTGCTTAAGGACAACAACCATGTTAGAAGAATGTTATTTTTTGAAGATAGATTGTTCCATGTGCGCTGTTGTGTACATATTCTAAATGTTATGGTTAGGGATGTGATCAAATTTGTGGAACAAGTTGTTGATAAGATCCGGTTAGTTTCATAAATAATTCTAAAGATAGATTGGCAAAATTTTCTGAAATTGTTCAGCAATTACAGTTACCACAAGAAAGCTTAATATGAATTGTCCAACCTGTTGGAACTCTACATAAAGCATGCATATTGTGGCACTCAAACTAAGAAAAACTTTCTTGTCTTACATGGAAATAGAATTTGCCTATCATAGTTGTCCGACAGCATAGGAGTGGGATAATATAGGAAAGGTGTGTGATGCTTTGGGAATTTTTAATGAGGCAACAAATATCATCTCAAGAATGAAATACCCCACCTAAAACTTATTTATTTCACAGATTTGTACAATTAAAAAAGTATTAGATGATGGGACATGTATTTTAGATATTTTCATTAAAGAAATGACTAGTAAGATGAAGTTTAAATTAGACAAGTATAGGGGTGAGTGTAATCTGCTAATAGTCTTTGGTGCTATCATGGATCCAAGAAAAAAGTTTGTGGTCATAGAGTACGCATTTCCAATGATCTACGAGGGGGATGAAACCATGCAAAATTATATCTCGTACGTTCGCAGCTTATTGTTTGTGCTATAGAAAGAATACGCATCTTTTGAAGAGGAAGTAATTGATATAAATTGCACATTTATAGCAGGAAGAGCAAGTGTTGTTGGTTCAAGTAATAGTTGTAGAAGTACCCAAGAATGTGTTGGCAATAAGCACAGTGGTTCGCAAGATATTGCAGCTTATGTTTCACGGAAAACAAACAACAAGCTCGTCAAATCTGATTTAGATAAATATCTTGAAGATGGTTTGAAAATTTGTCCTCCATGGCACCCCTTCAATGTTATAGCACGGTGGAAAAGCAATTAGATGAAACACCGAATCTTATCAAAAATGGATGTTGATATCCTCAATATTCCAATTAGCACAGTAGCTTCTGAATCTACATTTAGTGCAGGAGAGAGGGTTGTTGACACCTACAATTCCAAGTTGGGAATTGAGACGATTCAAACTCTCATATGCAGCCTAAATTGTGTTTGTTCACACTACAATCTCAAAGGAAAGATAAAGGTAACAATTTGCTATAGATTTTATTTTTAAAGTTTCTCATTCGATAATACTAATGCTAACATTAGATGTAATTTTTTGTAGTAAGAAGAGGATGATGAAGAGATGGAGATAACACTAACTTTAAGTTAGAAGAATCTTGAAAGGTAGCACATCCTCCTACACATTGTCTTGAAAATCAGTTGGAAGAATACTTGTGACTTTTTGTTTTTGTTTTTTTTCATTTGCAGATTGACTATTTAAAAGTGCTTGAGCATGCGCAAAGTGAAAAAGATAATGGAGATTTTTTTATCATTTGTAGATTGGCTATATGAGATTTTTTTGTAAACTTTATTATTACTTTGTACACTTTGGTACAATGTTCTTGCTGAGAGAACTTTGTTCATGTTTGTATCCAGAACTTACTCTTTAGGCTGCCCTTATTTTGCATTAGAACTACCCAATCTACTTTAATTATGTTGCTTATTCTATCTCCATTTGAAAGGAATAGAGAAAATAAACTATGTAGGTGTGATGATCTTTTTTTTATACAGATTAATGGCATGTTTATAGCAGCATGTAATTAAAAAAATTGACATTATTACAGTCAATGGTTCTATTGCTCTTGATATCATAATATTTGTTTAGTTATCTTTGAAAAATATTTTATTATAATTTGAATTATGATTATATTGCTGAACCTGTCTAGTAGAGCTAATTTTGCAACTGCAAATGTATAAATATTTATCATTTTGCTTGGAAAAATTAATGTTTCAAACTAGTAATCTGTATGTGAAACATGCAAAAAAATGCACTCCGTGTCGAGCTAATGAGCCTATAAACGAGACGACCTTGAGGAGAAAATTAAAATTTCGAGTCGAGTTCGAGCTCGAGTACCAAGCTCGACTTGAGCTTGAGCTCGAGTTAAAGACACTTAAATAGAAGCCGAGCCGAGCTCAATTGTAAATATCAGTTCAGCCGGTTTATCGAACTAGCCTCTACTTAATGAATAGGTGTCACGAGAGGGGGGATCGCGGCCCAGGCAGACCACAAGCAAAGCCGCCAGTGTGCGGGAGCCTTCCTCGGAATGCTCCGTTCAAGCGTAACAAGTAATGACTCCTCGTGAGTCATAACTTCTAATCACTCATTCCTTTTGGAGCAAATCGCATGAGAAATGTCAGTCGAGAGAAACGATTAAGAGGAAGAAGGAAGAAAGTAAGTTTCCAAATTCATTTCTATTGGCATTTTTTCTTCTGTGATTTAATCCTAAGAAAATATGAGTTATTTTAAAGGGAGATAGAAGAAGTAAATGAAAAAGGAAGTGAAGAAAATTATAGGGTAAGCAAATCAGTGGATTTTCATTTCTATCAACAGAAGAAGTGAATTTAATTTTTCTTTTACATTCACTTATTAATACTTTATTTTCTCTAACTGACGCCATAATAATGATGAACAAATAGGAAGGAGAAATCTGGTGGTGAGCGTCTTGATTTAAAGAGAAAGAGAAGAAGACAGATTGAGGTAATTATAAGTGCATGAGATTTTCAATAGATGCTGTAATTATATTAGTGAATAACTTAATGTTATCGCTAGCAAATGATTAATGTAAAATAAAGGAATTTTTGGAACAGTGGAGAATTGGTTAACCTAATATATGAAGGTGACAACTGAAACTAATAATAGATCTCAAAAAGGAGATTGGAGGTAAGAATTTATTTAAATAAATATTTATATGAGAATAAGGAAAGTTAAAAGAAGGTAATAGTTATATGTTTGTATGTGATTTAGATTGTAGAAAGGAAGAATGTCTCAAGAGTCTAAGGTTTGAAAGGAGTTGAAGCCAAATTATTCAAAGTAGATAAATGATGTTATTTTTATAGATGTTTCATGGTTCAATTTTATTAATACAATCCTGGTTATTTACATCAATTACAAATATTTGAAGGTTATAGATATTTCATGACTCTGTTTTATTCATACAATCTCCTTATTATTTACATCAGTTACAAATGTTTGAAAGTTATTACATCCATAAAATTTCATAATAAAAGTTAATCATTAAAGTGAAAGGTAATACTTGTATATACATATGTAATATATGAAATATGTGGAAAATAGTTATTTACATGGAAAAGAAAAAGAAAGAAAATTTTTTGAAATATATATAAATATATTTCTAAAGTTATATAAAAGAAATCATATGAGTGAAATAAAACAAAAGTAAATATAAAAAAAGGAAAAGATATATGCATACAAATTATAGGAGTTCACTCCCGTATAATACTGGTTGGGAAAGCAACGTACCCATGCACATTAAATGGAAATGGTTGTACCTTTATTGGTATATTTAGACAGCACTCCTATACTAATGAAAATGGAAATGGATTAAAAGTCAAATTTATTAAAGAAATTTTATAATGAAAATGGATAAATGAGAAGGAATATGAAATAATTTCTATGAAATTATAAAAACCTATAATATATAAAAGATGATGCATATGTTAATTATGTCAGAAAATTGAAGAAAAATGAATGTTTACATTATATGACTATTTTATATGACTAATTGTTGTATATTTAATGATGATTATTCATTGAGTTTACTTTGCAAACTCATTCAATTAAACTAACATTTTCAAATAAGTCTCCAGAGAAATAAAAATGACTGAAAGGGAAGAGTATATCTATAGAAGATAATGCACAAATGAAAACATATAATTTATGATTGAGGTAAATATTATATTAAAAAATGGTATCAATAGTTTTATGAAAATTTTGTAATAGTAGCTCTTCAATTGTATTAAGAAGTTGAATGTTAAATTATTTATGAAATTGAATGAAATGTTACACCCGTTCGACTTTTCGTTCCCGCCTGGTTAATTCGAGTATTTGGGCTGTGTCGTGACATCGAGCTCGACTCGACTTGTTTGCACCCCTAGGGTACATGCATATTTTTTTCTCATTGTCTCATGTTAAGAGTCAAGTTCTCATTTAAATCTAATAAAGGTCATTTCTAGTATTATCTAACCAAGTCTTTGTAGGTCAACTTCTACATTTATTAACCTAAGCCAAATTTAATAAATCTACTCTTCTAACTGGGTCATCAGAAGGCCGACGTTTTATGTGACCAAACCATCTAAAGCGACTCTATCTACCATTGGAATCAGTCCCTAGCCCATGTATACAAAGAGTTACTAGTTGAAAGAAATCCTATCTCAAATGCATGTACTCTAGCTGCTCTTAGGTGAAACAAATCCAATAGCAAATCTAAAACTTATCATCATTTTTCATTAGCCTTATCCTAACTATTTAATGGCAGCATTAAGAACAATCATTTTCCATTCATTCTTATCGGGAATTGTTTGAGGTGTTAAACCAATTCTGCACAAAGAATTTAAACAACTTATATCCATATAATATTAGGTATATCATTTTCCTTCTTAATCCTCTATCATTAATTATATCCTTCCAAATATAAAAAAGGAATGAGATAATATTTTCATAGGGCATAAATATATGCAGAGTAAATAAAATGATGATATCAACATACCTGTGCAGACAAGCAAGATTGATGGTAGGTAGATGGGCAATTATCACAACATATCAGTTCACCTCCATCAGCACAAATACCACAAGTATCATCATTTTGATCAACCTCCACAATATTCACAACTTTCAAACGCCCTTTCCTCAATTTGTATTCAGCAGACCATGCCTGAAGCTGACAGAGTGTGTATGACTTACCAGATTTCAGGTAAAGATTAAAAGGAGGTATTTCTTCACTCAAACCTGCGTGAACCTTAAAACCTGAAACAGAAAAAATTTTGGTGCAGCATTTACAAAGAATTCCATCCCTTGTAACCCAGCCATCCTTGATCACCACATGATTCTTTGGATTGCGAAATTGCACAACATCTTTTAGAGACACAACACCCATGTCAATCAACCAGCCTAATACTGTTCTCGTTCCCATAACAAATTGTTTCCCATCCGTGGAAAGCTTCCCACCACTCCCAACAGCCCTAGGTAGTAAACTGCAACCCCGCTTTTGAGTTTTCATCCTTCTCAACGCTTCTGGTTGAGGAAATTCAGGTTTTGAAGGAAACTTCTTACAATAGACACTAAAATCTTTCTTCTTTATTATAGCTGCAATCAAGAGATCATCGTCATTGACATGGAATCCACGTAATCTCTTTAGCCCACTTCCCTTTCGATCATCTGACTTACAAGCCTTGTTAGCTTTATGGCTCTCTTCAGAGCCTGGACAAAGACCATCAGTGGTGGAGTAAACTTCCTCTCTGCTGTCCTTAACAAAGGATGTTTTAGAAATGTTTCCATTGCATGATGTGACAAAAGATTCCTTCGAATTAGAGCACTTGTGCTGGATCTCATTGAAATTAGATTGCCATTTATATGACGATATCACTGCAGAATGGTCATCAGAACTCGTCACATTAGTATTATGTTCAATTTTCATTAGCTTGTGAAGTCTAATACCATCTTGACTTTCATTTAAGCCAGAAAGAGTAATTGCAGTTTTTTCCTCTACAGGCATGAGTGGAATTTCATTCCTGTCCTCGCTAAATTTTCTAGCTGCTTTATTTTCAAATATCAGAGCCTTCTTATTATCTATATTTAGAGTGGAATTAGCTTCTTGAATTTTAGATGTATGTGAGCTTTCATCTTCAGAGGTGCTTAGCACATTACCAGTTTGCCTTTTCAGACACTGAGATGGCTCCAAGCATTCAGAAATCAACACGCCAGAAGCTTCATAGCATGGAAGATCTGGAAGATCACTGTTACTTTCATCTGAGCTGTGAGCACTGGGCTCTCTGTGTTTTGTTTTTGATCTTGGTTTGCTCTTCCTTCCAGGAAATTCAGCTTCTTTAATCTCAGATATCTTCTTAGACTTCTTGTGTGCCTTTTTAAGCAAACCATTATGAATCTTTTCAGAAGATGTTTCTTTTGATGAGAAAGCATCTGCTCTTTCTAAATTTAAAGGTATTTCAGTAGAACTACATAGGGAAAACCCATGAACAAACTTCTCTCTCAAGGAGAATCCATCAGTATCATCACATGATCGACTTTCTTGTTGATAAACGGATGATTTATGTGGACTGTTAGTCGGTTGTTGCTGTAATTCATTCCCAGCAAGCATTTTATTGGCGCAGCAACAAAGATCCTCGCTTTCTAAATCAGAACTAACAGGACTATCACACCCAAAATTGATTGGAGAGTCTGTAGGATTTAGATCAAGTGAATAGTTTTCAGTTAACTTGCACTTGCTAGATAAACTTTTTGATTTCCTTTTCCGGTTTTCATTCATATTTACATCACAAATATCTTCGCTGCAGTCAGGAATGTAAGTTGCACTTTTGACAGCTCGCAGTAATTTCCCCATTCGCAAAATACTTATTTTTCTATTAATGAACACAACTGCTAAGAAAGGATCAAGAAGCTGCCATCGTCTTATAAGGGAAAGTTTGCTTACCTGCTGCCGAGTTTTCATATCAATGTATGCAAGTACATCCTTCAAATCACTCCAAAATTCATTAACATCAGACCATTCTCTTCCATGATCATCCTTCTCTGATTCTGAAGCAGTGTAGAGAAGCCTCTCACCACATGTTTTCCAAGCACTAGAAAGAGAAGAACGAGCAAGCCCTTCATCAGGTTTTCTGAAAAAGAATGCCGGTTTAATTCTCTCCCTGCGTACACGTGATTCAATTATCCACCCTGCATCAGTAAGAAGGCTATGTGCATATGACTCAAGTCGATCTGGCATTTCCCTATTTGTTACTTTCTTGGAAAACCCACCAGATTGGTGTCTCCTTAAGGTTTCAAGTGCAATTTGGTCCATGCTTGTGGCAAATCCACTTTTGTCATTAACTTCAATAGTGGATCTACCCTTAACAAGACCAGAAGCAATGCTCTCTTGAGAAACTGGGGAAGTCACAAAATTAGCTTCCAAAATAACCTTGTTGTCTCCCAATTGTTGGACTGAAGTTTTGTAATTCAAACTTGCACAATTGACATTATTAGAAGCAAAATCCACACTGCTCAGCTGATTAACAGAACAATAGCTGGATAAGATGCCATGGGCAAAAGATTCAACGATGCGGAATGAGAATGGCTGATAACCATGAAAATCTGGCTTTTCCAGCTCATGATTCTTTTGGGAATAACTAAAGCAATGTTTTATAATCTCTTCATCCAAAACACCAACGGGCAGCGAACTGTTCTTCCTTGAATTCAATCCAGAGCTTCTGAGCATAAACCCTGATCTAATTTTATCTTTATACTCAAATATTTTTGCAAGCTCTAGTGCTTCACTTGATGAACCTTTCATGAAAGAGTTGCTTGAAATGTTTGAATTTTCCAGGTTAAAATTAACGTGCACCTTTCTGCAGCAGCCAGGAGCACCATCTTTATGAGTATCTGAAGCCCTTGAAACAGCACAACTATTACTTTCATCCGGAAGACTTCGTCCATAAAAAATATCAGCAAATATCTGGCATTCTTCCTTTGATCCATCAAGCCTAAAGGGGGACAAACTCTCAATCTCTTCACCAAATAATATTATCATGGTCTCCTCTTCCTTCGAACCCTTGCCAAGTGTCTGAACGTCTCTCACCATTTTGCTGAAGACTCTTAACGCAACTCGTTATCACTGCATCCCCGAGCTACGGAGTTGCAAGCATTGATAAGTATTATGAAATGGACCCCAACTTTTAATAGAGAAACCATAGGCTTATGTCAACGATTAAACACACAAGGAGCCAACCAAGGAGTTAAAAAAGGAGATTAAATACTTTGACCAGAGAAGGAGAGGCCAGTAGATAGAAACAGAGTAGACCTAAGCTTGAGGATGATCAATAGAAACTAAAAAAAAAAAGTAGAACCTGCACGCATGCAAACAAGCACAAGCCTATTCAGACCAAACTTTCAATAATTAACAGAGAAAGCAATACGATGTGAAAATAAAAATCACTAAAGCAACAAGTTATACCAGCTCCTCAGCACAAGCAGAAGAAAACAACTCAGAGTACCGAGCAAGAAATCTCTGGTCCTCACCCAACCTTTCCACTGAGGAGGAAGCACCGAAAATTCCCAGCCTGTAGGTCGCAATCAAACCCCATAGATCACCCATAAAGACAAAATGTACATCTAGGTTCCCAAATCCGGAGCATCAAAAACGACAGCAGCGGTACCAATAGATCTCCGATCTAAAATCTGAAAAATTATCATAGGAGAAGGTTCAGATAATCAACCTAACACCAACATTAACTGTCGATATAAGAACGCCTGCATCAAGATGACCCAAACCCCAAAAAAAAAAATCAAACTAAGACAACCCGAAGCAGCACAATCCAAATACAAACCAATCGTCGAAAAAGAATGAGAGGACTAGCAAAAAAATGTAAAGGAAAGGAGAGGATTCATGGGAACTCATCTAGATGAAGAAAAGAATCAGAATTAATGCTCCTCGTTGCGGTAATCAGCTTCTCTCTTCTTCCAGCTGCATCCATTCAAAGAAAGAGATTGCGGATTAGGTGGATCGCTTAGAGAGAGAGTGAGAGATAACGCCGCCTTCTGCGAATAGCGGATCTCCGTGAGCCGAGCAGGTTTCAAGCGTGACCAAACGAAACACTTTCCTCCATTGGTTCACATGAGAGGGTATTATTTTTATTCACTGAGCTCTGCGCCTGTGAATTAACGAAGCGTAACGGAGGGGGTGGTCTCACTTTAGATGATATGTAAGGATTGGTGACAACAATGATTAATTTATTTGTGAAATTTTTATTTTTTTATTTTATTTTATTTTTTTGAAAAATTAATGCATAGCAAAATTGTATTAACTTTAAAATGAACTTACAACGAGTTGAAGAAAAAAATAAAGAAAAAATTACATAAAAAAGAGATCAAAAACTGACCGAAAAGACTATAGATAATCAAAAGAGAGACCTATAAAAATGATGAAAACAAACGCTCAGTATGCGCAAAAACTATTCGACATCATACATATCTGATTAAAGAAGCTCTGCTGGTTGTCAGAGTGACAATCTAGAGAAAAAGATGCAAATAAATTCATATTAAGAGAGAATTTTAAATTTAAAAAGAACATTTTATTCATAATAGTTAAATGTTAGGGTTAGTTAATATGTTAAATATTTCATTTTTTATATTAAAACAAGTCCTTTTAAACATTCTATTAGACACTAGGTGATCTCATCAAATGCACATAGTTCGATACTCCAATTACCTCAATCTATATTGTGTCGGCATATACCTTTTATATTATATTTTTTTTAATTCTTTTAGGTATAATATTTCATGTAGCCGTCTTAATCCTATATAGAAAGGGCGGAGAAATATTTTGAACTTTATGTTATTTGGATTATTCATAAATATATTAGAGCTTCTTATTTACTCGGTTCTCAAGCTCCAGCCCACTAAAACCCATTAGTAGGATTAGGTAAAACCCACAAACAAATTTGTTTCCAACATTCCTAGTCAGTATGAATTGATGTTAGTGATCGGACGATAGACATTTTGTGAAAAGCAGCAAAACTAGGAGCTATCGGTAAACATGGAAACCAAAACATCACTACTCGCTATGATTTGATGGAGATGGAAGAGAGAATCATAAAGATGATTCAAAACTCATTGGGGTGAGTTGACGCAAACACCTTAGAGGGGAGTATCCTAAAAAGAGTGTCGAACTCAGCAGCCCATCAAAGGAAGCCCTAGATATAATAACTCAAATTTATTACATGATTAAATACTCATTAATGGCATGTAAATAACCCTCATGGAAATTAATAAATGAATGAAAATCTGCATTAGAGAAGTACAACGCTGTACTTTGTGATCACAAAGGCGCCAACATCTCGAGTTGGGCTGAACTTAGGCTCTACAATTTGGAGCGCTAGGACACTAGGTCTCAAAAAAAAAATTAATATTCTAATCCACTAAGTTATTTTAAGCACCCAAGTCATCCCCCCTCCCACGTCCCCTTTCTTTGTTTCTTGGTCAAGAACAAGAGGAAAAGAAAAGAGATGGGGGGGAAGAGAGAGAGAGAGAGAGAGAGAGAGATGTTCACTTCCACATCATTTATGTTCGTCCTCCTAGTTTTGATTATTCTTATCGTAGTAAGTAACCCGAATCTTATTTCTTAATTATTTTGAGTTTTAATTATCAATCTCTTCAAAATCTGGTTAGAATTCATAATCCTCTGATTGGATAAGTTTTTACTATATATTTTTTTTATATAAAATAAGTATCATCATTATGAGCTTTTTGGCATTATCATATTTAAATTTCACTAGTTAGTTTCTCATGTAAAATCTTTTAATTGAAATGATCAAGATAAAGCATGTATAAAATAAGTATAAATTTTTCTATTTAGTCTAGAGGAGCATGCATAACATGCATAGTGTATTTTGGCATGACATGCACCTTGTACAACTCATATGGCATGCATGCCACTAATATTAAGACACTATTGATAAGATGTGTATATTGGTAGCATAGAATGATGCTCAACATGAAAGAATACACATATGATACATGATGCATATTATTATTATTATTATTATTATTATTATTATTATTATTATTATATGACATTTGTGTGTATAATTACAAGAAAGGTTGGATAATTATAAATTGATTCAAGTTTGCTATAGCTAGATACACTGTAGAGGAGGATGGGTCGACGACCCTTCCTTTAAATAATAGGGTTTCTTTAATCACAATACAAGACACTAGATGTGATATAGAGAGTTATAAGTGGACAAGATATGCCGACGAGCAGGAGTGGTGACTCTTATAAGATAGCCACCTGACATATTGACACATGACATAATATGTAAGATGTAATAAGATACAAAAAAAAATGTCATATAATTAGCTAGATGTCGAAATTTTATTATTATGAATGTGTAATTTCATACATGATATAATGATTAAAAATAACATTAACATGCATAACCCATATGATACATGACATGATGCATAATGTCACAAATACATATATAGATATAGGATAGACATGATCCATGAGAATGGATACATGTTGCATATATAATATGAACGACATGCATAGTGATAGACACTGATAAGGAAGAATATAATAGATCATAGAAATGATATTCATAATGTTACCTTGCATTAATAATTGATAGAATTATGTTATAAATACATCATTTTTATGATTCACATGATATTATTCTTATAGCCTTTATAAGAAGCTAAGATAGAACTAAGTCAATGATTACTAATCATTTATATGATTATGATTGCTTATGATTCATCCTGTTTACATGAATTGATAAAGCATACCATATTGATATAACTTGAATGATTATATGCAGATTGTTTTACTTTTTGTGCATTGGGTGTAGTGGTAGGTTCTGGTGACCTATTGGGATTCTACTCATTATGTGGTTTTACAAGATTTTAGGGAAGAGTAAGGACGCAATGGAGGGAGGCAAATTAGATATAATTCTTGTTTTAAATATAACATTAAACATAGGTTGCAACTGCTTATCATCCTAGAACTAATGATCATGCTGAAATAAGTAATAGGGAGATTAAGAGAATCTTAGAAAAATTATGACTCCAAATTGAAAGGATTGGGCTTTGAAAGTAAATGATTCACTTTGGGCTAAGATAACTATATTTAAGACACTTATTATAATGTCTCCCTATAGATTGATCTTTGGGCATGCATATCCTTTATCTTTAGAATTAAAGCATAAAATATGTTGGACAGTGAGCAAATTAAATTATAATATTAAGGTTACTAAGGAGAAAAGACTAATACAATTGAATGGGTTAAAGGAATTTGGACATAAGCCCTATGAGAATACGATGATGTTAAGAAGCAAATTATGAAGTGGCATGATTGTAATCTTATTATGAAGGAATTTGAGCTTGGATAAGAAGTTCTTCTATATAATTTAAGATTAAAACTATTCCTTAAAAATAAAGTATGGGTGGTCAAGACCATTCACTGTAGTAAAGGTGTACCCTTATGGAACAGTTGATATTTGAGATCATAAAATTACCTAGATTTTCAAAGACATCTGTTAGAGGTTAAAACCTATATAGGAGATGTTGATCATCTTAGAAGTTCTATTGAGCTAGCTCATCTAAATATGATTTTAGCATAGTTTAGATGAATATTATAAACTTAGTGCTACTTGGGAGGCAACTCAATTAATCCCTTTATTTATTGTCAAGAGTTGTGTGATTGGTGTTCATTATTAAGTTTAGATAATTTTCTTGTTTTATGAGTACTTAAATTTATACTTTTGTTTGTTTTTATTAATTTAGAGGATACAATTTTATTTGAAAATTTTAACACAACTTTGCAGTGCAACCCCGTGAAGCACCGCAATGCTACCTCTTGAAGAGTAGCAGTGCTACCCCCTTAAATATTGCAGCATCATGTCAATTATTGAAAAAACTAATTAAGTATATCATAATGTGGTATAGTCCAAGCAATACTGCAATGCTAAATTTCTTTCTAGAATATTGAAGTGCCATTTATGCAGCTCCACGACATTTAACAACCAAGTCATTTTTTTTTCAAATTGAGCTCATAAACACAGCTTATAGAGTGTCATAGTGATTGGTCAAATCATTAATATGGTAGATGAAGTGTTTTAGTGGAAGACACTAAAATTTCCACAACACCACCATAGGTCGTCCACCATAGCCATCTCATGTTAAAAAAGCTAATGATTTTAATTCCCTTGGTGAGCACAGCAGTGCTACCTATCTTCAACATCCTGACACTTGTACTTGGGTTGGCTAGTTTGATTGAGCGCATGCATCGCTACTCAAGCCAGCACTTCAGCACTTACCAATTTATAAATATGGCTAGAGGCTGAATTTCATTTCACATCTACATTCTTGTGCCTTTTGAGTTCTAGAGTTTTCTTGTCTTTATGTCTTAGGGTTCTTATTTTGGCTTTCTTTATAGAATGGTCCCTAAATCTCTATGGGTAAGAAGAGATTTGGTTCCACCTCTTATAATGCGTATAGTTTTGTAATTATTGCCATTGAAGAGTGGTATAATAATTTAGGAGGGACGTCCATCATTCCAGAGTAAGGGTTTGATAACCTTGGGGCTTATCCAGGTCTAGTTAATGCCTATATTGTCTAGGAATTCTTCACTAATGCAAAGGAACCCCATAAAAAATATATTTTCTTGCATTGCAAGT